CGCTATTATATGCTACTCATGCAATATTCCAGCAGTCAGAAAGTTATGTAGACAAATATCAGCAAGAATTGCATGTTTTCAATATGAAAAACATGCACAGTTTGATGCTAGACATCAGCCTAATTTTGGTAGATTTTTGGATATGGAAGACTGGTTTGTAGAGCGTGATATTGAGAAAATTAAAAAAGATGCATATGAATGGAAACTGTGCAATACTGAGGATCAAAGAAAGAAACACCTCTCTGAAAAATTGGTGAGATGGTCAGAACTCTACTGTCTTCCTTATTTTAACCCAATCAAACATGTAATTGTAGACCCAATGCATTGTTTATTTTTGGGAATTGCAAAGTGGATTGTTATGTGACTTTGGATAGAAGGTAGAAAATTAAGTGCAGATGATCTGAAACTTATAGATAAAGGGGCAAAAAAATTACAACCTCTATTAAATATCAGGAGAATTCCTTATAAAATTGCTACAGGAGAGGGATTTTCTGGATATACAGCAGACCAGTAGCGATCATTTATAATGATATATGCCACTGCTATTACATGGGATTTATTAACAGAATCAGACCAACATATTCTTGCAAACTTTGTTAAAGCATGTAATCTGTTGGTCTGTAGAATATTAGACAAAGAATCACTTAACGAAGCTCATCAAAGATTATTAAATGTTGCAAAGTTAATAGAACACCATTATGGACCTGAAAAAATTACTCCTAATATCCATTTAAGTTTGCATTTATGCGAAAATTGTATGGATTACGGACCATTATATTCATTTTGGTGTTTTTCTTTTGAACGTATGAATGGAATCCTAGGTAAATATCGGGCTATTATTATATATACATTATAGTGTAAAAATACTAACCGATATATATTATTTATATTTATAGGCTCATATAAGACCAGCTATAGGAATATAGAACCAGAACTTTTGAGAATTATTCTCACGAATAATTCTTTGGATGAAGTTGTATCAAATGCTGAAAAAAATGTCAGATTATCCGATTCTCTAATAATATTAAAAGGAAGAATATCAGGTGATAGCATAGATATTTCAGATGAATTTGAAACACAAGATCTTCTTCAATTTTATAAATTAAGAAATATTATTGATCAAGGAGAATCTTTTAGCTACGAACTATTTCATGGTATATTTCTTGGTCCAAAATCGGAAAATGCTATTTTACAAAATAATATTTTAGACCTTTTAGTCGAATTTTATAACAATGGAGTAACAGGTTATCAATTTACCACTCCAGGAGATATATTGAGAATTGATCAAATATCTGTATTTCCCAAAATAATTCAATATGAGCAATTAAAATTGGGGTCAGAAATTTTTGGATCTACATTCTCGGCTCGCCATATCAAATTCTCAAGAATTCTAGCAAGATTTGTTGCTCAAGAAGATGAATCAGTAGATTTATATCCTGGTCAAGTTCAATTCTATTTCGATCACACTATTCATCTTCCTTCTGGTGAACTAACATATCACCTTGCATTTGTAAGGTGGTATAAACCTGTTGAAAATTATGAAACCAGGTTCCAGGTAAAAATTAAAGGGGATGATTCTAGTTGTAATGTAGAATTATGAAATCAAGAACTTTATGAATTAAGCAGGGACTGCATAATTCCTATACATCAAATCTATTCCTGGTTTGTAGCAGGTACATATACCGATACTAAAAATGATCCAAAAACATATATGGCCATAATTCCTTTACATAGAAATTATAATTTATGAATACGATTTATTTTTATTTAATTTTTATTCATATCTTTAATTCATACCGATATATATTATTTTTATTCACATTTTCTTTATATACTGTACATATTAAATATTCATATCAATATTATATATCAAATAAAATTAGTAACTTTGCCGATATCTTTAAACATTTATACGTTTTAATTGGTGATATATGACTTATAACATTATAAAGGTATTAAACATTTTCTTTCATTATTATCCCGATATTCATCATATAAAAATATAAACATAGTTTACTTTTCATTATTTAACCAACTCATAACTAGCATCAAAGTAAGATATCAGGTGTAAAGTTATAAAATTTAATGCGATATATTTAAACGATCTGATAGCTAATATTATCACATTATTTCACAGATATTCATGTCTGTGAAATCATGTGATAAATGCTATTGACAAAGTTCTAAGTTATAATTTGTTATAATTAAACTACTGAATATAAATAAAAATAAATCTATAATTATATGTTTACAACTGATATCGAAGAA